GGGAGGTGGAGGTTGGGGGCCCCCTGGACCACGAGGGGGAGGAGGTGAGGGCGGGGCCCGGCCCGCTGGGGGGCTGCGGGGGAGGGGCGAGCGGGTGGGGGAGGGGCAGGCAGGTAAGTCTCCATCAGCTGCTCAGAGCCTTAATCACGCTCATTGCTAATAACGCCGGTGAGGATCTGCAGCTGGCCAGTCGGACCCTGCCTTGCCTTCTTCTCACGTTGCATTGCAATACACGGTGGTTCTTAACGGTGCCCCCAAGATGCATGGCTCTGCCCAAGGGCAACATCACCCCTAAAGGGTAGGTCTCTGCCCCGGGCTGCTTACAGTCAGGGTTCCCTCTAAGCCAACCTTTTAGAGACCGAGTGCCCAAACTGCGACCCAAAACCCACTTATTGATCGCAAAGTGCCAACACGGCAATTTAACCTGAATCCTGAAGTTTTACTTTAGAAAAAACAACTCATGCATTAACATTAAGGAGCTGCGGTGGCTCAAGTGGTTAAGACGCTGAACTGCAGGCTGTGGAAGGTCGGTCGTTCAGCAGTTCGAGACCCGGGTGCCGCATGACGGAGTGAGCTCCCGTCTCTAGTTCCAGCTCCTGCCAACCTAGCAGTTCGAAAGCAAGAAATTGCAAGTAGATAAATAGGTACCACTTCGGTGGGAAGGTCCGATGTGAGTGTGAGCTGCAAGGTTGCAGTCAGACATGGCAGAAAAGGGAAAATACACTATTTTTCCCCCTGTGCAATTAATTAGACCCCTGTTTGCTGAAGAATGGAGCTGCGGTGGCTCAAGTGGTTAAGACGTTGAACTGCAGGCTGTGGAAGGTCAGTAGTTCAGCAGTTTGAGATCCGGGTGCCGCAAGACGGAGTGAGCTCCCATCTCTAGTTCCAGCTCCTGCCAACCTAGCAGTTTGAAAGCAAGAAATTGCAAGTAGATAAATAGGGACCACTTCGGTGGGAAGGGAACAGCGTTCCGTGCACCTTGGTGTTTAGTCATGCCAGCCACATGACCACGGAAATGTCTTCGGACAGCGCTGGCTCTTCGGCTTTGAAACGGAGATGAGCACCGCAACCCTAGTTTGACTGGCTTTCGAGCAAGGGAACTTTTACCTTTTTACATTAACATGATGATCCAAACAAAGTAAGGAAAGCAATCCCAAATGCTTTCATTGACTTAAAATTATTTGGCAGA